TTCAGTACTATGGTCAAACATTACAGGTGAAACAGATTTTTTTTGTAGATCTAGGATCAAACATTTAAAGCATTGTTTATGAGAAAATGATTTCAACTACTAAGTAACATGCTCATTTCAGAAATTACCTGTTTAAAAGAGGTCGATTTGTTATAGGTTATAATTAGGGACCTAAGTGTAGGAATGTATATACACCTGCACAACTCCTGTGGTTATTGTTTAATGTGTTTTTACAGAAAATGTTATTGTATATGTGCTATGTGGCAGGCACTGTACTTACCAACGTCAACCGTAGTATATGTGCTGCTGAAGCAAGCACCCAGGGTCAACAACAGAAATTTACAAGCCCCTGTTTGAGATCCCCTTTGTTTATTAAATAGTGATTATGTACCATATGTTCAGTATTTGTATTTGATATCTAATAGTCAGACTCCTATTGTCCCTTGTAAATCTGATCTAGCCAGTCTTCCCCATATTAGTTAAAGTAACTACTTCCTTCTACTGTCTCAGCACAATCTTGGCATCAGCCTTCTTTCTTTCTTCTGACACTCTTCAGCTTAATATCTTTCCTGTAAGTCACAAGTTATCTAGCTTCTTCTTCCTGCTTCCACTGTTACCATTCTGATTCATCATGTTGAGTAGATTCTCCTAAAAGCTGTTTTGCATTCTTGCTTAACATAGCAATTGTGGCAGTCCTACTGATGTGTAAGTCAAATCCTGTTTCCTTTTTTACACTTTCCATTGTTTACCCACCCTATCCCAGTGCCCCCTTCACTCACAGTAAAAAGAGACATTTTTATAGTGCTCTGTTTTCCCCTTTGCTCAGTGTATCTCTCATTACTCAGTCCCTCACTGGCTCACTGTGCTGCAGGCCCCCTGGCTTTCTTACTGTCAGCAAACATGCCATGTGGGCTTCTACTTAAGGTTCTTTGCACCTCTTGTTCCTTCTCTCTGTAATACTCTTTCCCCATATATGGAGAAAGCTGTTTATAGAAATATACAGTCAAAGACAGGCTGGGCTCTCAAGGAAGTCAGCAGAAAAATAAAGACATCAGAATTGTGGCTGGAGGTGCATCTGAGGAAGGCCAGGCCTCAAGATGAAGATGCAGTGGCTGGGCCTGCATGCCTGCCTAGGAATAAACAACAACTTGAAATTGTACTGTAATTAGCACCACCTGATCCAGTGAGCCCAGATAGGCATCAGTTGCCTGGGTGGGTGACCAGAGCGTCTGGACCCATCCCTTCCCAAAAATGCCTTTGTTCTTTCCATGTGCCCTTGCTGTGTGACTCATTTGCCTACTGGATCAATTTTAGCTAAGCAGCTATACCTGTAATCCTGTGGGTTGATTGTAATTTGACCCATGTTGTGACTTTGCTATATAAATTCCCTGACAAGGGGCCTTGACGGCCACCCCATTTGGGACCTCACCTGGAAATCTAGGAGCTATTCTTCTCTCCTTATTTAAATAAAACTCTCCTAATGCCTTCCTATGGTTTGTGACTTTATTCCTTGATGTAGTGGGACCATGAACTTGGCACATTTGACATCTAACGGGTTGGGAGTTACATTTTTCCTATATCACATATATCCAATTTTGATAAAAATGTCACAAAAACTGAAGTACTTGCCCTGCCTGCCTTTTAAAATTATTACTTCAAATTTCCTATTATCTTGTTTTGAAATTCTGTATTGTTTTTATTGTTTTTATCTGTTTTTAAAATAAAAAAATAAAGAAAATAAAATTATCACTCCTCCCCTGCACAGTTCATTGCCCTTGCTCCCTCTCTTCTTCTCCATAGCACTTCTCGCTCTCTGATATGCCCAGGTTACAAGTTTAGAGTCTGCTTTGCTCACTAGAATGTAGCCTTCACGGGGGAAGGGCTTTTGGCTTTTGTGTTCAGTTTCATCCCTTGCATGGAGAGGCGTACCTTGTACAAACAGGTGTCCATATTTGTTGATGATTGATACTATGCAAAAGCACATATTTGTTGATGTTGACATTATGCAAAAGGGCTCCTCTTCACAGTATTCTTAACAGTGGCAAGAAAAAGATTACAGAAAACAAGGCTTTCTGTTATTCACAAGCCTATGCTAGATCTTTCTTTCCGTCAATCACAATATTGCCTTGCACGTTCTTCTTTTTCCACAGTGAGTTAAGGGGTGACACTAGCTGGGGCCCTGGCGCCAAGCAGATTCAGGCTCTGTCTGTCATTTCTCCCTGCTTTTCCTTTAAATTGTCCTCTTTAGCAAGGGCTTAAGTCTTTCTAGTCAGGATTTGCCAGAAACCTTCCTGAGGCCTTTCCCTGTCTCTTTCTTACCTGCCTGCCCCATTTTTCCTACACAATGGCACCAAGTTCCCTTCAAGAAAAATTTTATTATATATATTTAGAATGTGTAATGTGATGCTTTGATATACATATAGGTGATGAAATAGCTACTATAGTTGGGCAAATTAATATATCTATCATCCCCTGTGGCAATAGCACCATTTTTTTTCCTTTGTGGCAATAGCACCAAGAATCTACTCTTTTAGCAAAAATCCTGAATGTAATACAATATTATTAACTATAGTCCTGTGTTGTACATTAGGTCTTTCGACTTGTTCATCCTTCACATCTACTGCTCTGTATCCTCTGACCTATGTCTCCCCATTTCCTTCCTTCCCACACCATAACCACTGTTTTGTTTTCTGTCTCTGTGCATTTACTTTGTTCTATTTCACACATAAGTGACATCAAGCGGTATTTTTCTTCTTGTGTCTGACTTACTTCACTTAGATAACATCCTCCATGTTCATCCATGTGACAGATGGCAGGCTGTCCTTTTACTTGTAGAAGGCTGAATTGTACCGTTTGACGCACATGCACACATGCACACACACACACTAGTTAATTTTCTCACTAATGGATACTTAGTTTGTTTCCATGTCTTGGCTGTTGTGAATAATGCTGAACATGGGAGTGCAGATATCTTTATGAGGTGCTGATTTTGTTTCCTTTGTGTATATACCCAGAGGAGAGATTGCTGAGTCACATGCTAGTTCTGTTTTTAATTTTTCTAGGAATCTCACAGTGTTTTCCATAATAGCTGCACAAATCTATGTTCCCACCAGCAGTGGATAAGGGTGTCCTTTTCTTCACACCTGTGCCCACACTTACCTTAGGTTTTGAATAAAACCTGTCCTAACAATGTAAGGTGAGATCATGTGGTTTTGGTTTGCATTTCCCTGGTAATTAGGGATCCTGAGCATTGTTTCACATACCTGTTGGTCATTGGTACATCTCTGTTTGAGACGTGCATTCAAGTCCTTTGCTCTTTTCAAAGTACTGGGATTTGAACCCAGGGCCTGTGCATCCTAGAAAAGTACTCTACCACTAAGCTATAACCTCAGCCTTTTTATTTTTGTTTTTTTTTGAGATAAGGTCTCTCAAAGTTGCCCTTGTTGGAGTTGAAGTGGTTATCCTGCCTCAGCCTCCTGAGTAACTGGGATTATGGGCACTGCCAATACACCCAGCTCCTTTGCTCATTTTTAAATTGTGTTCTTTGTTTTGCTGCTATTGAGTTTGTGAGTTTACAAATTTTTGATATTAGCCTCTTCTCATATATGGTTTGCAAATACCTCCCAGTCTGTAGGCGGCCTTTTCATTTTGCTGATGATTTCCTTTGCTGTGCAGGAGCTTTTCAATACTGTAGTTGTAGTAATCAAAACAGTATGGTACTGGCTTAAAAACAGTAGACCAATGGAACAAAAAAGAGAGTCCCAAAATAAACCCAAACATGCATAGTGAACTAATTTTCAACAGGGACATCAAGGGAGCACAGTGGAGAAAATATTGTTTCTTCAATAAAGGGTGCTGGGGAAACTAGAATGAAATTGGATCCTTGTTTTTTCACAGTTCACACATAGAATCAACTCAGAATGGATTAACAGAGATATTATAAGACTTGAAAGCATAAAACTCCTACAAGGAAACATTATGTTTCCTTGATATTTCTCTTAGTAATTATTTTGTCTTCTTTTCCTGATTAAAATTAGTAACACATGCTGATTATATAAATTAATGGGTTTCACTGTGACATTTTTAATTTTTATATTTTTGATACTATACCAAAAGCTCAGGCCACAAAAGAAGAAATAATTTTTTTTTTTTGATACCAGGAAGAAACTCAGGACCTTGTGCTTGCCAGGTACACACTGTACTGCTGAGCTATATCCCTGGCCCAAGAAGAAATAAATAAAAGAGGCTACCCTTGATACATTGTTTCCCCTTTGGTACTGCGAATTGAACCTGAGGCTTTTGTACCAAGCTACATCCCCAGGCTTTTTAGTTTTTATTTTGAGGTGCCTGCCTAAATTATCTAGGCAGGACTAGAATTTGCAGTTCTCCTTCCTCAGTCTCCTAGAGTGCTGGAATTACAGGCATGCACTGCCATGCCCAGCCCCCTGATAAAACTTTCAGTGTGACTTGGGTTTCTCCAAGACCAGGACATGCAGGTGCACGTGCATCTTGCTGCGTCTCAGGAGCCACGGTCCATCCATACCAGAATTGCCCATCCGCGTTTTCTGTAGCTCCCAATGAATGATAGTGTGTGTGGGAACAGAAGTGTGTCATCCTGCAGAGTGAGAAAAGACTGGGAACAATATATAGCTAGTTTCTAATATTTGTACTTTATTACATTAGATAAATAAGACTTAATTCTGTATAGACTAGATAATTTTTGTGATTTCTTAAAATTATGATTTTGTGTTTTAGTGTAAGTGACATGTTTGGAAGATGTTTTCATGGAGGTACAATATAATGTAACCAAAATTGTAAACCATTATATAGTAGCTTTAATGTTCTATATTTATTAGGAATAGTTACTAGTTTTCATTTCTGTCAACTTTTGTTAACTTATTTTTGAGCATTTGTAATATTTCTTTTTGGTTGAAGACATGACTTAAACATTTCAAAATGAACAATCATTGTAAGATCTTTTTTCTTAACATTTATTATAGAGGTTCCAGAAACTTCAGCAGTTGTAGTGCAGAGGATTTTGAGAAGTTAACTTTAAATAAAGGAGGAAATTGCCTCCTCAATATCCCAAAACCTGATGAAGCCTATAGTGCGCCCTCCTGTGGTAATAAATTGGTGGACCCTGGAGAAGAATGTGACTGTGGTACTCCAAAGGTCAGTTTAATTTTTGATTTTTTCTTTATAAAATTACCATGAGATTTGGAAAAAGAAAATCGCTGGTTTTGTGCAACTCTGGCATAGGAACTAAAATAAACTGCAGTGGCAAATGAGGGTTATTTTGTCTGTGTGACTGTTTCTAGGATTGGTCATTTCTTCCTCCTCAGAATATAGCTAATGGTGCCATCTATTTTAAAGTCAAGGAAAGCACCATGGATACACTTTTGATTTTACCCCTATCTTATACCACTTCTGTTACAGTTATTTGCGTATTTATTTTAAAAAAGGAATCAGTTTTTCACTTGGTTCTTTATGTGTAAACATTAAACATTCTGGCAAATGCCAGTGCAGAAGTATTTATTCAGTTGGACTCATCTGAAAAATAAGTCAAAGCTGGCCTATCCTGTGGGTTTCTTCAGTATAAAAATTCTTACTGCTCAAAGTGCTATTCTCCCTTTATTAATCCTTAGTTTACCTGCTCACCACTGACTTTATCAGACTGTTACTGACTGTCCCAAATGTGTGCACATCTTTCCTGTCTTCCCACAATGGCCTGCTGAAGTCCTCTTCTTGTAGGCCTGGCATTAGGTTTGGAAAATATTTACCTGCATGTGAATCTTGCTGTACTCCATCTTTTCCAGAAGGGCATCTCCTTCCTTACCTGACTACACCTGGCCTTTACCAGATCCTTTGCTTTCCAGAAGGGCAGTATGTATGTGTCTTCTGCTGAAGTGGTGTAGGCCCATTATTATACAACTGATGCATGTCATGGAATTCTGCTAAATATCTTAGAAATTAATTCCCTTGATAGCCTTAAGAAATTGGTATTTTTAATATTTTCATTTTCAAGTGAAAATACCCCTTACCAGTATATTACCCACCTGTTCTTTTTCCCTCATTTTCTTTAGGCAAGTGTTGATTGTCCTTTATTAATGTGCGTTTCCTAGAATTTTATATGAAAAAGAAACCAACCCTGTTTTGGGGTCTTGGTTCTTTTGTTGCATTTTGTTTTTCAGATTCATCCATGCAGTTGCAGTTATGCCAGCAATTCTTTTTCTTATGGTTTATTGTTAAGAACTAAGGATATTCTGCAGTTTATGTATTTGTCTCTTGATGGCTATTTGAGCTGTCTTCAGTTTTGAGCTATTACAAATAAACCTCTGTTTACAGTCCTTACGTGGATTAGGTTTTGGGTAAATAACTAGGTGTGGAATGACTTGGTCATATGGTAGTTGTAGAAGAAACCTTCAAATTACAACGATACCTCCGTTGTCAAACTCAATTCATTCCAAATTTGTGCTCAAACATTGAAAAGTTTGAGAAATAAACACTTTTTTCCCATAAGAAATAATGGAAAATCGAGTAAGTGGTTCTGAGGCCCAGAAATTACTTATAAATTCCTTTTTCCAAGACTTTAACAAATTTTGCAATGATTTCTTTAACTCTATTGTGGTTCTCAGAGTTTTCCTGTTAACTTTACTGCTGGTATCACTAACTTCCGTTGGAGCCATGGTTACGGTATTTTACACAAATAAAGTACAAAATAAAAGGACAATGATGAATGTTTTAAGTTACTAACATAAGCACTGTATGTTGTCTGGGCAAGAGCTGCATTTAAACTGAAGCATCACCCCTTTGTGTCAGCAGCTAGATACACCACAGGACTCACTGCCCATACAGGGTTTTTCAAGTGGGATATTCAGTTCAGCTACTGAGCAAAGTTACCAACACCCAGCAGATTTTCTCAAACTTTGCTGTTTGAATAGTGGAAAGTTTGAGTTTGGAGCAGTTCAACAACCTAGGTATCACTGTCCTTTCTAAAGTGGTTGTGCTATTTTCATTCCCACCATCCATGTGTGATAGGTCCAGTTCTATCATATTCTCAATGGTATTTCACATAGGCAGTCTTTTTCATTTTAACCATTCTGCTAGATGCCTCACTAAGGTATTAATTTGGATTTCTGAAGGCCTGAGTATGCTGAGCATGTTTTCATGTGTTTATTTGCCATCAGTGTATATTGTGATGTGTCTGTTTAACTCTTTTCTCTGTTCTTCAAATTGGGTTATAATTGACTTTCGAGATTACTTTATATATTCCAGGAGTAAGTACTTTGTCAGATATTTTATTTGTAAATATTTTCTCGAAGTGGTAGCATACCTTATCTTAAGAATATCTTCTAAAGGGTTAGAGCTTTTATAAAGTGCTTGTTATCATTTTGTGCTTTTATGGATTGTGCTTTTGGTGTTATAGCTAAAAACACTTTGCCTACTCTAAATTTACAAAGTTTTCTTCTAGCAGTTTTATAGTTTTAGCTTTTGCACTTAGGTCTATGATCCATTTTTGACTTCCTGTTTTTGGTATGTTGCAAGGTAATACAGATTATAAGTCATTTATTTTAAAATTTTTATTGTGAGATGGATATGTTAATCACCCTTATTTGATCAGTATACATTGAATGGATGTTGAAATACCACACAGTAGCCCATAGATATGTGCAATTATTGTGTTAGTTAAGAAAACATAAAATTAAAAGCACTTTAAAAATGAAATAATTATAAGCTGACAAATATTTATACAGTATAGAGCTGGGCATGGTGGCACATGCCTGTAACCTGAGCACTGGGAAGGCTGAGGCAGGAGGATCATTCTGAGACCAGCCTGGGCTACAAAGTGAGCCAGCCTGAACTGCATAGTGAGACCCTGTCTCAAAAAGACAAAAAATAAAAAAGTCAGACAGTATAGTCCTGTGTACTCTTCCAGTTTCTCTCAGTTGTGTCGCCTTATAAACTGTAGCACAGTATAAAAACCAGAATACTAATATTGCAGTATTAAGCCAAGAGATATGGTATCTCTGCAGGTGGCAGGTTGGGGACAAGGCAATTATAATGGGTTGAAGTGTGATGAGAGAAGCACATGTAACTCAGTGATAGTTATGTGCTTTAGTGTGTGTAAGGTTGGGTTGGAGCCCCAGGACCCCCTTCCCCAAAATATTAGTGTCTACCTAGGGTTAAACCCAATGAAAAACCAGATCCTGAACATGAAGAGAAATGCATTCATGAATGCTTAATTTTCTGTGATCATTAAATGTACTGCTGTGGACTGAATATTTGTCTATCTGCAAAATTCATGTATTGAAGCTCTTACCATCAGAATGGCTGAGGACAAAACTAAGATTAAATAAGAACAGAAGGCAGGACTGTGAGCCAACAGAATTAGTGTCTTTAGTAGGAGATATATTGGGTACCTTACACAGTGAGAAGATAGCCAAGAAGAAAAGTCTTACCAGAACCCAAATTTGGGAAAACCTTGATCTTGGACTTTAGCCTCCACAACTGTGAGAAGATAAATTTTTGTGCTGTAGGCCACCCAGTCTGTTATGGTAGGCTGAGGCATGTACTCTGATTTCAGTCTCTTGAAATATATTGAGACCTAAATACTTGTAGCTAAGAGACACTGATAAATCTGTAAGTACAGTTAGTGATTGTGGAGAGTAACCGTGACAGCCGAGTTAGAATGAAGTAGATTTTTGGTATAAGAAAAGAATGTGGGGGCTGGGGGTATAGCTCAGTGGCGTAAGCACCCACCTGGCAAGTGCAAGGCCGAGTTTGATTCCTGGTACCGAAAAAAAAAAAAAAAAAAAAAAGAAAAGAATGTGATTAATGAATATTAATGTCAAATTTACTATCATTTTCTATTTGCAGGAATGTGAATCAGACCCTTGTTGTGAAGGAAGTACTTGCAAGCTTAAATCTTTTGCTGAATGTGCATATGGCGACTGTTGTAAAGACTGTCGGGTAAGAATTCCTCCTTATTTAGGAATAAAAAGTAGAAAAAGAAAAACCTGTGTGTCAAAATTTGTTTTCTGAGAGCTATTTTCATTATATGATTATAGGAACAACTTTTATGCCACTTGTTTGCAATTTTAAAACATATTCTTTTATGATAAATGTTCTGTTTATTTTTTTCCAAGTTGAAACTAGTTTTTAAAAAACTTAAAGTAATGTAGGGTTGTTGAAAATAACTCAGCAATGCCAAAGTGTAGAAAACGAAAGACTGTCATTTTATACTCATCGGGTAACTATTGTTGATAATTTCTTAGTCACTTTCTGTACAAATGTAAGGGTATGAGTGTGTGTGTTTCTATGTAAACACAGATACAGTACAAATATTTTCATTGGCAGACTTTTCCGTAGTCATGTAGTACTACATGGTTATATAGTTACTGTTCCTTTGAGTGGACTGCACCATAATATACCTAGCCAACTACTAGTGGACATTTAGTTTGCTTCCAGTTATTGCTTATAAGAGAAATCATTGAGTAAGAACTTGCATATTCAAATTTTGACACACATGTTATAAATCTTCCACAAATGTACCAGTCTATACTTCTGTCAAATATTTTTCTTTATTTAATTTTGGTTAGTAGCAAGCACTGTAATTCTAGTCAGTGCAATAGTGTAAAATGTTCTTGCATTTTTATTCAATTTGCGTTTCTTTTGGTTATAGTTTTTCATTTTCGATGCTTATGAATTGCCTATTGTTGGCCTTTGTTCATTTTTATGAGTTATTTAATCTTTTGTTGTTAAAATCCTTTATTGTTATAAAAGTACTATGGTCTTGAATTTATAGAAATTGTCCTGATATTCCTATTTAATTTGAATTTTATTGCCTTAGTTCCTTCCAGGAGGTTCTTTATGCCGAGGAAAAACTAATGAATGTGATGTTCCAGAGTACTGCAATGGCTCTTCTCAGTTCTGCCAGCCAGATGTTTTTATTCAGAATGGATATCCTTGCCAGAATAACAAAGCGTATTGTTACAATGGCATGTGTCAGTATTATGATGCTCAGTGTCAAGTCATCTTTGGCTCAAGTAAGATATTTATAACTGATTGGTTTGATTTTATTTTCCTTAGACTTTTAAAGAAGGAAAATAAAATATTACTGATAATAGGTTCTTATTTCCATTCCCCCTTCTTTCTCTAGTGGGAAAGAATAAATTTTAGTAAAACCCAAATTTAATTGATTGTTTTTGCTTTTGCTCTCTGTATCTATCTGTCCTTATACTTTGCATATAAAATACATACACATCATTTTCTAGGTTTTTTTTTTCCTGTGTTGCTGGGGATCAAATCTAGGGTCACATGCATGCTAAGCCAATGTTGTGCCACTGAGCCACACGCCAGCCCTCGTTTTCTAATTGTAATAATAGCAGGTTGTATACTTGGGCTTGTTATTTGCATCATTCCTTCATAATGTTCTTGAGGTTCATGTATCTTGATCATTTATATCATAGTACATTAGAATATTCTGTTAGCTAAATGAATCATGGCATAGTTATCTCTTTTTAAAGATATTTCTAAATATTGATGGATATTTAAAATCTGTTTTTATTTTTTCGTGTTCTTTTCTTTAAAATTTTTGTCTTTATCAGAGGCACACTAGAGATTAAAGAACTAAATTATTTTATAAGGTTTATTATGAAAATTAAAGCCTATTTCTCTCCAGCATCTCCATCCTTTGAAGTAACAATGTTTATTACCTTCGGTAGCTGAGTTTTTGTGACTTTTTCCAGGTCCTTAGATAATCTCTTGGTAATTCTGCTTTTTTATTTTTATGAAAGATGACATTTAGTTTTCTTGTCTCCCTTCATCCCTTAGCAACTCCCATCATACCCATGTTCATTTTCTGTTCTCCATCTTTCTAATATGGATTAATTTTAGTTTTAGGTAGGCAGTATTGACTGTTCATTGTCTAGTGGCCATGTTAACACTGTTCACAATGGAGCTATGTACTGTTACAATTGCTTTTCTGCCCTTTGTTTTTTCTAGAATTAGTAATCCCCCACCATGTAGTTACTTTTCCATGTACTTAGCACTAATTATTGCAAATGGTTTTGCAATGGGGTAGTTAGAGGTATTCTACTAATTTCATTTCTTTTTGAAGCAGTCTAAGTAGGAGGCTTCTGTTTCTCTTCAATTTTAGCTAGCTGTACTCTACTCTTCTCTTCTCCAGAGAAGCAGAATCAGTATTTATGTGTACGCACACGCACACACACAATATGACTGGTTCATGCAGTTGTGAAGAATGCTAAGTACTAGTTCTCCTGGTGAGTTGGCAAGCCAGGGGCCAAAGAGAAGTGATGGTTTAGTTTGAATCTGAATCTGAATCTGAATCTCAGTCTGAATCTGAATCTCAATCTGAATGCCTTAGAATCACTAAGGTTAATAGCGTAGTTCCATTTGCAAGGCTGGCAGGCTCATGTCCCAGGAAGAGCTGATGTTTCAGTTTAATTTCAATGGCAGGAAGAATGCAGATGTCTGAGTGTATGGAAGAATTTCCTTGTACTGGAAGGAGGGGCAGTTTTTTTTTTTTCTTCTTTCAGGCTTAAAGCTGAATGAGGCTTGCCTGTTAGGCCAGTCTGCTTTACTTATTCTGCTGAATTAAATCCAGAATTGCCCTGACAGAAATGAAATCAGTAGTCTTATATTATGTGAAAAAGGGATAAGAGAAAGGGGAAAATATCCATTTTATCATGATTATATTCCTAACAAAATAAAGAAGAAATGTAATGTCATCAGTCTTCATTTTGGTAATGGCTTGTGTGGTCATACCTGGTATTTACTTCGGCCCATTCTCTATTCCTGTGCCTTCACTAAGTACCTCAGCTGGTCATGATTCTTGACCTAGTATGGTGACCAAACCTTTTTTTCTAAAGGATGTAGGCCATTAGTAGCTTATATTTGGTTTTTCAAGTTTTCACTGAGATTAATGGCAGGAAGTGGTAATTCTAAGAGATGCCACAAGGGATTTCTTAGTTGCTTTCTCATACCTGATACAACAAATTAAAGAAAGAGAGGTTTATTTGGGCTCATGTTTCAGTCCAGGGTCAGGGGGCTCCAAAGAAGAAATACTATGGCAGAGGGGCCATGGCAGATGAAAAGCTGATCACCTCCTGGTACCCAGGAAGCTGAGATGAAGAAGGGAGGAGCAGGGGAGGAAAATGTGCCCTTCCAGGTCACACCCCCAGTGACCTGCCTCTTTCAACCAGGCTCCAGCTTCTAACAGCACATTTAGCTTATTAACTCGTTAGTAGACTAACCCAATGAGTACAGTGCCCACGAGATCTAATCACTTCTAAAATGCCCTAGTTGTGATTGGATGGGGCTTCAAGGGGACATCTAGATGTAAACTATAACAAGGTGTCTCCTGCGCTCCCAGTGTGCTCTTCTTTACCTCCATTGTGGAACAGCAGTCCAGTTTCGTTTTGGTAGTCAGATTAGGCATTCTGGCCAGCACAGTAATTGCCTTCTTTGCCTATTGATTCAGAAGCATGAGCCCAGTGTGGCTGTGTGACTGTCTTAACTTCAGTTCAATGCAGTCATTGTTGTGGCTTCTGGTAGTGAATTCCTCTCTTTCAAGCTAAAACCTCTAAGCTAGCAGAGTATAGAATCGTGGGAACAGGAAGCACAGTTTTGCTCATGGGTCACTAGGATTAATGATGGGAGGTGCCACTCTCATTTCCACCCCTTGCTAACTTTACCCTGAATCCTCATGTGAAAATCAGCATCATTTGTTGGACATTGATTCAGAGAGTATGTAGCCTTTCAGGGAACCTTGTCCCAACGCTTCAAAGTCTGGCCATCTAGCTGGTTCTGGAACTGGGTCTATCAAAGGTGTTTCCAGCATTCTAACAAGGCAGCTGCTTCAATACAATGAGGAGCATGGTGAGACCAGTGATTTATGTGCATGGGCCCAATTGCCACTCTTCATTTGCTGTGGAGCGAGTTCCTTGATCAGCAGCAAGGATGTATGGAAAAACTTGATGGGTAAGGAATTCTGTAGGACCATAGATGGTTTTGGCAGAAGCATTGCATGTAGGGGCAGCAAATCTGTATGCAGAGTAAATATCAACAAAATATTGCCTCTTCCATGGGGCTATCTCAGGGAATCAATGAAGGGCTCTGCTACCGGCAGATTGGGCACTCAGCAGTAGCCCATGTTTCTGAGCCCATGAGTAACCTCCAACTCTGCCGCCACGGGCACTTGGTTCATGAGCCCTTTGGGTGATGACAGCGTTGGCTGGAATAAAAGGCTGCCTGCAGTCCGAAGAATGGGTCATCTGTTCTATCTGATTATTAACAGCATTAGCTAGAGCCTATGATTTGGTATACCAAGGGTGACCAAAATATATGGTGAATATTTAAATTTTAATTTATTACAATGAAAGACACATAGCCATCAGTCCCCTTCAAAATGCTCCCTTTCAGTTTAAACATATGTAGACCATCATTTTTGCCACTTTCTTTTTTTTCCAGTTTTAAAAATACTTATTAGTACATGTTTGCAGTATATAATGATTATATTCCACACTGGGAGTAGGTATGTGTACATAACACATGTAATTCTTTTTACTTCCCCATCCTCTGCCCTCTTCCTTTTCTTCATCTCTTGGTCCCTTTCTGAAGCAGTTCTGGAAGTCCTCTTTCAGGAGGGTCTTTATGAGGTATGATCAAATATACACTGAATGTTGCTGCTAATGCCATCCAACAGAAATTCACGCTCATAAGAGCATTAGGATATGGCCTCACAACAAATTAAAGAATCTGGAATCATGCATCTTCTGGCTCTTCTTCAAATTAAAATGATCATGAAATGTAAATGTTTTGAATGGATTCAGAACATTGAGGCAGCCATGACAGTACAACTAAAGTCACAAAAGACTTCTAGAACTGCTCAGAAAGTGGCAAGGACCATGGGAGCACTGTGTTAACAGTGAGAAGGAGTCTTCTGAGGGGGATTAATGGCAATATATCTTTTACTATAATAAATTAAAATTAAATATTCATTGTATTTTTCAGTAACATGTCATATAATCATGTCTGGCCATTTCTTCTACCAAGCAGAGTGTTTTAGTTACTTGTTGCTAAGACAAAACACCCAACACCCAAAGTTAGAGGAGGAAAGGTTTATTTAGCTCAAGTTTGTGGAAGTTTCAGTCCATATTTGGTTGGCATCAAGGTAGGGTGGCGTAGCAGAGGAGAAACAATTCCAGGTGGGCAGAAGATAGCAAAGCAGAAGCAAGCAGTGAAGCAGAAGCCCCCTGGGGCTCTTTTATCCTTTCCAGGCTATCTGCTTTTTGCATGGTGCCACCCACACCCAGGTTGGGCTTTCCTTTCATCTATACCTAGAACTATGCTTATCCAATCAGTGGATTAATTTAGTAATCACACATTCTTTTTTTTTTTTGTTTTTTGAGACAGGGTCTTGCTGTATAGTTCAGGCTGTCCTCAAACTTACTGTGATCCTCCTCCCTCAGCCTCCTGAGTGCTGGGATTATAGGCATGCACCACCACACCCAACCATGCACTTGTAGTCCTAGCATTGCAAAATTTAAACCTTGCATCACACAATTTAATCCTAGCATCAGCCACCTCTGAAAGCTCCACCTGTGACCACATGAGGTTTTGGGGGGACATCTTGATACAAGCCGTAACACAAAGTGAACGACAGGTACACAGAAAAGGACTGTAGTGCTACAACCCTTCGCTTGTGGGTGATGTGTGCATATTGTGCTGAACCTCTACAAACAGGCCTCATTGTTCTCTTCCTCTGTCGACTCATGGTAGAGTATTCCCCATGAAGTGGGTGCTGGCCAGGAGAAAGAATGTTGGATTGCAGGAGTGGGGACTGGGCATTTGGGCAACTTCTCCATGTATGTATGTGTGCCTTTGGGGCTTGCTTGAGTCTAATCATGTGTATACCACTTCATTTCATGATGGAGTTCTGTTATTCATGCTGATTTGATGGTTTGGAGGGTCAGACAGTGCCCAGTTTGTGATGGGCAGCTCGGGTTGAAAAGTAACTTGGTAG